TGATCCGTGTCGATCAAAATAAACAATTCTATTGGCTTTAGGTCACGTGATGGACACGGCTTTAGACGACCCCCAAAATAGGTAATTAGGACCGTCAGTTAAATTGACGGTCCTAATTACCTATTTTGGTTAAATGATGTGCATCACTTATAAACAAACGGTCAAAATCGTAAAAAAATTGGCAAACTTCGTGGCCTTGATTAATTGTAATTTTATTCTAAACTACCTTCAAAATTTTAAAAGAAGGACCATTAAATGCTAGAGAATTTGCAAAATCAAGCGCAGAAATTAAACCGATAGCTCCTTTTGGATAAATAAGCCTAAAATCCAAAATTTTACATATAAAATTTAGGTGCGTCAATCATTTGACGCATAATTATAAATTTTACCCAAATGATCTGCGTGACAAATCGTGTGACTGCTAAGTAAACTAGAAGTACTTTACGTACGTACGTATCTACTTGTTTTACGTTTTAGCTTCTATAGATTGGTTAATAAGTACAGTCAACCAGTAGTCAACCCCCTCTATAGTCACAAAATTAATATAATTACAATTTATTTTTACCAATTATTTATAACTATATAGAAAATATCTCTATATTAGTCACACCTCTTTATAATCACAGTTTTTGTATCCCGAAGGTGTGACTATAGAGGGGTTTGACTGTACTAAGCTTATTAATTAAAATGTATTAAGAGTCAAATTTACCTTTAACTGCTTTTTTGCATTTCAGTATTTATACTGTATATAGCTAATATTGCTAATATATAATATATAGTCTTCTAAGCAAGCCAGAAATAAAATATTCTTTTTGTATAGTGAGTATTAATTATGATTAAACTAAAAATAATTTGCATAGTGATATTTTTTTTTGTAAATCGTTTTTAAAAGCTAATAACGATAAGTTCAATTAATTTATATTGTACTCTAGATAAGTACTGTATAATACATAATTTATTGTATATTTCATTGTGATTTGCAACATCAATTGCTAGCTATTTTTTAAAATACTATACGTATAAGTAAAAATGGTTAGTATTCTAAAAACCCTAATTTCTACTCTTAAACCCTAACCTTAAAGTTCAATTTTAGCTTTAAAATTCGTAGTAAAATTTCGCCTCCGGTAAATACTAATTTATACGGTATAATTTATATATTGTACAGTAATTATAAATTTTTTTATTTTTTTAAATATAATGATATTTTTAAATCACATCAGTGGTATTTAACATCACATACAGTATCTCAAAAACTGTCTAAATAATCAAGGCTGTACTAAGTAAAGATCCTTTATTTAGCATCCCAAAAAACCTTACTTCAACTTTATTTTTAACTTTAATTTTTAGTCCATAGCTTCTAGTTTTATTCTAATCTTTAACCTTAAATGTTATTAACAAATCTATGATAAAAAATTATACAGTCAGCCCTCGTTAATATCAACCTCCCGTTAATATCAACCTCTTACTAAGAAAAAAAGGTTCAAGCGATATGAGAGGTGGTCTAAGAAAATGTCAATCTGGGAATTTGGGAATTCTCCGACTGATCATCAATAAATAATTATTAATCGGAGAATTTTCAAATTCCCAGATTGACATTTTTACAGACCACCCCTCATATAAAAACAACTATAGTTCTACCGACATCCAAAATCTCGAGATTTTGTAGTAGAACCAAAAACTATCCTGTTATCAATCCTCATATATATCCTAATTCAAATGGGTTGATATTAACGAGGGTTGACTGTATGATGTTCAACACCACTAGTGCGATTTATAATAATTGAAATATGTATTAAAATTATTTTATATACAGTATATTTAACAATCACACCAGTGTTCAACTAGGGTTGTGTTACGAAAATATTTAATATTGAACGATGCATATGATCCAGCCAATCATATGGAATCATATGGTGTGTCAGTAGAAACCAAGAAAAATTGTTTCTAAGTGAAATTTTTCTTAAAACTTTAAATTAAAATATCTCAACAATTATTAAATCAAATTTGATAAAAATTTTTTATTTTAATTCTATAGTTGTAGAATTAAAATAAAAAAAAAATTATTAAGTTTGGTTAATTATTGAGATATTTTAATTTAAATTTTTTAAAAAAAACTCACTAAAAACAATTTGGTTTCTACTGACACCTCCATATGACTAAATGATCACGTTTCTGGAAAATCAAGTTTACCAAAACTTAACATAAAATTACGCGAAATTATGGTAACTTATAAAATTAAATTTGCTAGCCATCTAGTTATCCAATTTGGATAAACCTTTTTTATTTTGCAGAGCTCAATAGGATAACTACCGGTAGATGGCTGGCGAATTTAATTTTTATTCTCAAAATCGACATAGCCTCGGAGGGTCATTTTCCTAGCAAAGATCCCAATTGGTCTAAAAGATTGATAAATTTAATAACCCAAACTTTGATATGAACCACAATGTTGCATTAATAAAATTTTTTATTTTTTTATTTATTTATTTATTTTAAAAAAAAGTATTAATCGTTTTCAAAAAATCAATAGCTTTGAGATAAATTTATGTTTAAAATAATAATTACGTTAAGATTGGGTACCTTTACATATTAGCGTTAGGTCGATCAATCAAGATTTTATGTCGAAGCTGGTTTTTTAATACTTATGCTAATACTTGAGGATGTCACTCATGCGGGTGCCCGACTTTTGTACGTACTTACGTACGTACTTTAAAAAATATATATTTATATGTATGGGTCCACCTAACCTTGAATTTACTTGTTGGACAAATTACATAATAATGATAAATTTCCCGAATCTCAGATATCGTGAAACTCGATAATATTACCAAAGAAGCCTCAGGACCTGTCACCGTGGGAACATCAACAATTTATATTTCGGCCAATCAAAAGTGTTGGATAGATGTTTATTTAACTTGAAGTTTAACCTTATTTCTCGATCATCCTACACAACTCTACATAATGTCAATCTTCGTGTTTAATAAAGCAACTGCTATTTTCTTGTCATTTATTTTCATAACAATATTTCTCATATACGTTTGGTCATGGTCGCCTGTCCTCAAGGATGGAATATTTACGCGAATAAAATCTTTATTACAAATAACACTTAGCGAAACAACAATTTCAGGATATAATGCTTTGGGTGGTGTTGTTGATATTTGCGATTTGTCTGATCCATCTAAGGATTGTGGATACCTAGGTATAACGAAAGAACAATGCGAAGCGCGTTTCTGCTGTTGGAAACCTTCGAATGATAGCTGGTGTTTCTACAAAAAAGGACAATATACATGTGATGTTGATCCTTCTACGAGAGTGGATTGTGGATATCTCGGAATACAACAGGATGAATGTGAAAATAGATTGAATTGTTGTTGGGATCCAAAGGAAGATGCTATTGGCGTGAATTATTGCTTTTATAGGACAAGACCTTGCAATGGATATAAAGTTATCAATTCAAAAAAAACCAAAAAGTATTTAAGTGGTAATTTGAAACTGAGGGGACCTGGATGCGGTAACTATGGACCTGACAAAAAGCGACTCAAATTTTTTGTTGAGGTATAGAGTATATTATTTAATACGCGATTTATTAGTTACCAATTAACTTTTGAATTATTGATACTTTGATTTCAGCATCAAACTGCAAATCGATTGCATTTAAAAATATTTGATCCAATAAAATCAAGATATGAAATTCCTGAAGATATTGTTCCAGTCTCATCAATCGATCGAATACAAAGTGACCCTCTTTATCAATTTTCATATAAAGAAGATCCATTTACATTTACGGTGGTGCGCACCTCAACTCAGGAACAAATCATAAATACAGACGTCCCTGGGACGAATTCACTCGTGTTCGAAGAACAGTATATAGAAATAACGTTTGAAGTGTGTTGCTTTGTGATTAATAATTTCGTGATATACGCTTCTTAACAAAATTATATTGATATAGTTTTATCTATGAATTACTTTACAATAGCTACCAGATGATCCTTATATATTTGGACTTGGTGAAGTAGTTCGGCCTTTACGAAGGGATCCACGTGGTACTTTCCAAACATTATGGGTATATTAACTATTCTTTCGACTGTTTTAATGTGTTTTGCTTGTCATAGCTAATCAGCCTCTGTTACAAAGAATAGAGACGCAGCAACACCTATTGACGAAAACGGTAAGATTAATTTTGCATTTTGTATACGTACCATTATGTGTTGCTAAGCTTTTTTTTTTCTTTGCATTCATAGTATACGGTGCTCAACCATTTTATATGGACGTACGAAATGGCACTGCACATGGCGTAGTAAGAATTGAATATGCTTTATTACGTGAATTATTATAATGTTGCATTCATTTATTGTTTGTTTGTTTGTTTTTCTTTTTATGCTTTAAAATTAGTTTTTACGAAATTCTAATGGTATGGATGTGACAATCACACCGGGAAATCCTCCTAAATTGAATTGGAAAGGTAATAATCCTCTTCATGTTTTATTCCGTCAATTATTAAAATATTAAATCGTTTCTATTCTAATATTTAGTGGTTGGAGGTGTGTTGGATTTTTACTTTTTTCTTGGTCCGACCCCCGCAGATGTGGTCGCACAATACACGGAGGTAATTCAATCACCTGTCATTTAAATCGAATATTTAAATTAAAGTCTTAACTTCATCATAACGTGCCTTTATAAGTTGGTAGGAAGATCTGCATTACCACCGTACTGGGCTCTCGGCTACCATCAATGTCGATGGGGGTATCACAATGTATGTATTTTCGATACAATCAGCATTTGTGATTGTCGTAAAGATGATATATCGCCAGATTATCTTAATAATATTTAGATATCCACTCTCTATAATGTTGTCTCTGAATTTGATAAACACAATATTCCACTTGAAACAATCTGGAATGATTTGGATTACATGGAAGGATTTAAAGATTTTACGTGGAACCCTATAAATTATCCGCGCGAAGAAGTTGCAGAATTTGTAAATAAGTTGCATGAGAATAATCAACATTATGTGGTCATAGTTGATCCTGGTATAAAAATTGAGAATGGATATTGGGCATATGAAGAAGGTGTTAAGAGAGGCATTTTTATTAAAAATGCAAAGGGAGAAAATATAGTTGGTCAAGTCTGGCCTGGTTTGCATAATGATTTTTGTATTTGTGTTTTATCTATGCGAATTCATTAGTATTTTGACGCTTATCACCAAACTTATCTCTTATATAGGATTGACTAATTTTCCTGATTGGTTTAACAAAGACACTGAAAAATATTGGGGTGATGCTATCGAGAAGTGGTTATACAACGTTGATCTTGACGGGTAAGGATTTTGTTTTTCTATTTAGTAACTTCAAATATGTATTTAAACTCTCTTTTCTGTATTCAATAGATTATGGATTGATATGAATGAACCAGCAAGTTGGTGCAAAGGTGAATGCACAGACAGCAACACCAGAGGACCATTACCACATGATCCAGAAAATTATCAGATCCTTAATAATATACTCCCATTTATTTTTAATAACGGATCGAGTTTAACTACTTTTTCTACTCTGACGGCGAATACTTCGAATCTAAACGAACCACCCTATAGAATAAACAATGGTGCTGCGAGATTACCATTAGATTCACTTACACTGTCTATGGACGCACGACATGCAAATGGATTGCTAGAATATGATGTGCATAATTTGTATGGGCATATGGAAGCAATGACAACATGGAAAGTGTGGAATGAAAGGTTTGGAAAAGGAAAGAGACCGTTTATTATCACAAGATCAACTTTTGCTGGTACAGGAAGATATGCGGGACACTGGACAGGTTAGTAATAATTATAGGTGTGATGCCAAGAGAAAACCTGTAATTAATTATAAGACTATTAAGAGCTAAACGGCACCAGTTACATTTGAATTCCGTAAAATTAAAAACCTGTTTCCTCTTGGCTGTATCGACCTTATAGTTAGAAAATTGGTTGTAATACTCACATATATATATATATATATACTCACTTAGGCGATAATTCGGCAAATGTAGGTTTAATATTTACGTAGGGTACATACGTTTTTGCAATATTTTAACATTATGAGGCTTTGTTGCTTGTTTTGTATAGTGGGATGATTTATATTTGTCGATACCCGGTATTCTGAATTTTCAGGTGGGTATAAATTACAGAAATTAATGCCATTAAATTGCCTAACTCTAATAATAATATATACAGATCTTCGGTATATCTTTGGTTGGCGCGGATATATGCGGTTTTAATGGTCGTACTACTGAAGAGCTATGTCTTAGATGGATGCAACTTGGATCATTTTATCCTTTTATGAGGCAATTAGTCATTTGTTAATCAACAATTTTTGATAAATTCAATATGGAGTTTCATTACTAATGTTACTTTAAATAATTCACTAGAAATCATAATGCAATACTAGAAAGTCCTCAAGAACCATATATTTGGCCATCAGTCGCTGCAACTTCTCGCAGATATCTCCGTATTCGATACTCACTCCTTCCATACTATTACACACTCTTCTATGAATCTCATACGAATGGATCCATGGTTCTACGGCCTCTATTTGTTGAATTTCCACATGTTAAGGCAGCATTAATAGTTGACAAGCAATTTATGCTTGGGGGAGGAATACTAGTGTCACCTGTATTATCGCCACTAAAAGTAGAGGTGAAAGGCGCTTACATACCACCCGGAATATGGTATAACTTTTATTCACACGACATAAGCTTTGAAGTTTATGACAATTCAGGCATACATTCTGATATTTATGCACCTTTAAATGAGATGCCAATACATTTGAGGGGCGGGCATATTATACCAATGCAACGTCCCAGAATGACCACAGCACAAAGCAGGAAGACGAATTATTATTTAACAATTCCATTGGATGAGAACGCAAGTGCTAAAGGAACTTTGTATCTTGATGATGGTGAAAGTTTAGATGTTAAAGACAAGTATACTTATATCTCATATATCGCGTATAAAAGTACTTTGATTGCGGACGTTAAATGGTGTGGATACGACGATGGTATTATATTAGATAAAATCATTATTCTCGGAGTCAATAGGGCTACAGGTATAAAGAATGATAGGATCTTAAAAAGAAAAGTCAGCAAAGTTATTCTGAATGGAATTAAAATTGAAATGAAAGAAAGTGAAAATAAGAACACCTTTATTGATAGGGGTGATGTCGATTATAACGATAATGATATAAATAGTAGTGATGGCGGTTTATGGGTAATTGATAATATGGGAAAATTAACTTTCTTCGGATTACAATTAAGCATGTGTTCAGGATGGAATTTGACGTGGGTCTTAGAATAATAGCTTAGTTATAGGTAATGATAATCATCTCACCTTTATTAAATGTACGAAAGGGAGAATAGGCAAAATAATATTTTGAAAGTTTTTTTAACACTTAATTTGTATATTTGGATTATTTCAGAAGTTTTTAGCAATTTGCATTAATATAGCTAGGTATTTTAAAGCGAGTTAATTGAAACTTATATAAACATTAGGATTTTCTTAACTTTGTTTAATATTTAGGTTATTTTTAACATTTATTAAAGATAAAATTTACAATTATATATAAATATTAAATTAAAACTAAGTTAAATTTAAAATTTAAGATTTTTAAAATACTTTTTTTTATTTAGCATACCAAATATTAATTGTCATTGCGGTTAAAAGTTGGAAACGGCTGAAGCTGAAAATTTTAAATAGATGCACCTCGATAAAGTTACCCTTTGGATACAGAAATTGAATAACTATATGTAGTATGATTCGAAGTCAACCTATTTTATTATTATTATTATGTAAGAACAAATCACGAAGTTAGAATGAACCTTATACAAAGTAGTATTTTTTCTATTTTGAATATTTTCTTTTCTCTATAATCGCCTTAGCACCTTCTCGGAAGTTGATCAATAATATTGCTAATTAACATCTAAAAAAAACTAGTTGTTAGAAAATTTCAACTACAAACACATACAGATAGCGAATTATAAATAGTTAATAGGTGATGTACGAAATAAGTAGCTTGGTTTACCCTCGTTAAGCCATCGAGTCCAACAAAGACCAAAATTTGTGATATCAAATTATCACATTTCTCGGACAATGCCAGCGAAACCTACTTCATTGAACAAACTGCATAGTTATTCTCCGAGTAAGTTGCGCACCCACGTCGACTTGGACGTGACTTGCGCGAGAACTTATTCCCACACACCACCCTACAAACTATGCATTCATCACATATATATATGTACCTTTCTGTTTTTACTTCTGAGTCCAATTCTGATTTTTTCGTTTCGGTGCTATTGCACTTTAAATCCTGTGAACGAAAAGCGAAAAGTGATTAATTTTCTATAAGAGTGCCGCCAAGGGAAAGCCTGCAACTTTCAAGTATATTTTGTGTACAGTTGACGGGGTTTTTATTACAGTCAGGGATTTTACCAAATTTGGACATCGATTCTGGAACGTTCCACAGAAAATCTTTGAGCGATGATTGGCTTACAATCACACTCTTTGGCTGAGGGATTTTGACTTTTCGTACTAATTGGCACAAGTAGTAACCATATACACGAAAAGTTAAGAACTCATAGTTTTATTAATCCCAAATAATCCCTTCTTTCTGAAAAAATAGATGAGACCCGAAGAAATCTTCAAGATCTCATGCATTTATTTAAGGTTTGTCTGGTTTTTATTTTTATTTTTTTTTTTTTTAGCTCAATAGTTGAGACAGTTTTGTAGTGTTTTATGTTTACTCAGATTTGCAGGTATAATTGTTATGTAGTATTGTCTGGGATTATTATTTTTATTAAAATTGGGTTGTAATTGTTAAAAGCGAATTCATGATAGATTTGACAATAGAAGATCTTTAATTTTAATTTTTTTTCTACTCTTATTTTAAGGCCATACAAACTTAATAAATCGGTTCTCATAACATAAAATTTTTGAAAGTGACCTGGCAACCCGGCTTTTAATTTTATTTTCAAAAAATTTTATATATAAAATTTTTTATAAATTTTTTAGAAAAACCCACCTGGATAGTAAATATACTTAAAATTTTTTTTAAAGTTTTGTAAAATTTGACCTGGCCAGGTTATGAGAACCGATTTATTAAGTTTATACAGCCTAACATTTTTTCTATTTTTTAGATACTGGAACAAAAGAATTATTTGAGTGTTGTTAAAAGAAAATCCAAAAATTTAAATATAAGTCATATTTAAATTGTCAGGTTTTCTTTTAGTGACACTCATTTGTGACATAGTTTAGGATAGTGTTCCGATCCTAAATTTGACCATCTGGATTGATCCTTAAAACCAGATAAATTTTGATATTCAGATCAAAGATTTTTACTCAGATTGGTCAAAGAACTTAAATAACGAATATAAGGATTTGCTCAAAACTAGCTTTAGATCTAATTTAATATGGATTTAATCTGGATTTAATAGGATTCAGATGGCCTGCTAAAGATCGGATTGGAACACTAGTTTAGGATATATTTATTGTTGTATAATCGATGAGTTTTTTTTAATTTAATTAAGCATTATTTAAGAATTTTATTAAAATAATGAATTAGGTTATTGGCAATATCTTGGGTTCTATTAATTATATTTAAATAATTTTTATACTATTCAACTTGCTTAATGAGACAAATCAAATAGTATAAAAATCATTTGATTTTGATTATTAGTTAGCGAGATATCTTCATATTTGAGATTTATAAAAAAATAATTATAGTGAAAGTTTGTACTAAATATTGTTACAAAGTAGATTTTTAGTATAGATTTTATTTAGTTATTTTTAGTTATAAATATTTGATATTTGTATTTTTATATATATACAGTAGTTAAAATAGTATTTATTATTATATATCAGTTATTATATTTAGATAGTATATTTTATAATAATTATATAAAAATATTCTAATTGGCTATTGAAAGTATAGTGCAATCACATGACCTCACATAACCTCAGGTGATACAATATTACACAAAAGGATACTTTAGGTTATACAAAAGTGTTATATAAGAAAGTAACACAAGTTCACCTTCTTCCCCTACATGAATATCTAATTCCTATGCACAAGTCCTAAATGTTTTAAACACAAAATACTGTGCAGCAAAGTCCTCTAATTCCCCCATACGAGATGTAAATAAATATAAACATGATAAGTAATGTTTATATGTTCTCTACTTTACCTAGCACAATCACCTTCTTCATCCAACACGATCCTCTACTTCCTCTACACAAGTTCACCTTCTTCATTTGCCAAGTGTTACTCATATACTGTGCATCATGTATCCTCTTTATAGATAAAAAGATATATAAAGGGTGTCTTTTCCCCCTTCCTGCCAATTCTTAAGTTCCTACACTTCGCTTAGACTCTAATATTCTTTACCTCTTCTTATCTTATAAAGTATAATATTCTCCCTCTAGGGTAATTTCTACAGGCAAGGCTTATTACCATTCTTGTATTAAATAAAGCTATCTTATATACTGTTACTATCTCAAACTGTTTGCCTGCTGCTATATAGTTAAATAAACAACTACACTTCTATCCCGTATATATTTGCAATAGTCAATTACTGTACTAGGTGACCTTGTTATTTGGTTGTATTTTATTAAGAAGGCTACAGCTCTGTAACAATATATTAATCTTATATTAAATAAAACTATTTGCAATATTGATTTCTATATAATTTTAAAATTTGAAAAATGTTGGATAATTTTTTATTAATAAATATTCACATTATACATTTACTAGTTTTTTGATTTTTTGAGGTTATAATCTAATTGGCCAACTAACATGTGATAGAAGTGTCCAGAAATATTTGATTAGCATCTATATACTATAAAAGATACAATCAATACTATCTATATTTGGTAAAATCTTTGACTGAATTAATAATCTCTTATCACACTAAGTGTTACTTATGATTATCTTCAATATAATTTTTTATATGTAAATAACCATATTTATAATAATTATATTATGCCCAGGAATTTTCTTATAGAAGATTCTTAGTCTTTATAATTATCATTGAGAATTTCTCATATATTTATATATGGTTCTTTTTTTAAGTTTTTACCTTTATGCAAACTTTAATTTTAAGTTATTATATATAAGAAATAATTTAATAAAAGCAAAGGTAAATAAATATAATTTATTATGTGATAAATGATAACATGCAAAAAGTAAAGGCAAAAATTACAAGTAAAATAAAAAAAATGTAAAGCAAAGCTTATAAATAGTAAAGCACAATATGAATATAAATATGGAATTACATGTAAAAATAATAGTATAGCAATCTGATAATATATAGTGACATGCTTCTAAAGATTATTTATTTATTTTTTGAAGGAAATTATAGCAAAAGGTTACTAATAACCATATCATATGAATGACCCTTTGGGCCATTTCATATGCTATGATTATCAGTAACTCTCTGCTATAATTTTTACTTTCTCAGAAAATAAATAATGATAATACTTGTTGTAGATTAAAATGAAAACTGATTAAAATAAAACTGAAAACCTCTCATACCCACTCTTAGAGCCTATAAAACCCACATATACTCATTTATTAATAAATCTAACTCTAAACCCTACCCCTAATGCTAAAAAGAACCCCAAAAAATGATCATTAAAAAATTTTAAATTTTCCTTAAAAAACAGAAAAATTTCATTTGATCAGATTTCGTTTTAATCTGTGACAATATTTATTATGATCTCTGATAAATTGATCTATATAATTAAAAATTAATTAGAATTGGCTGCTGAACATTGTTTGAAAATAATAACTTTTGAAGAAATTAAGTATTCATTGCTAACAAAAAAATTACTAAGTATTATTTCAACTAAATTAAGTAGTAGTTTAATTATGACTTTTTGCTTCTTTTCATTAAAAGAAAACAATTGCTTTATTAGTAAAGAGAAGGCTTTTTGAATAGTTTAGTCATTATTATAATTATTACTATTAAATTTGGACTAACAGCTGACAAGTAACCCTATTTTTTGAATATTACTAACAGATTTAACTCTTTGGAGAATGCAAATTTTTTTTTAAACCAACTAAATACTCTGGTGTAAACTTCAAACCTTTTATAAAATGCTTAATCATTATACAGAATATCACAAATTGTATATTTTATTCTAAAATTTTTTTCACATATGATGATTATCTTTACATCTTTGTATAATATTAATCTGTATTATAAAAATATTAATTTATTTTTGCAAATTCTCTTTTATAAATACAGTAAAATACAAACTCAAAGTAAACTCTTAATATAGTGAAAATTCAAAATAAAAAAATTGAA